CTTCTGAAAAAAGCAATTTATTTTGAGGCAAATAGTATTTATATAGTGTTGTGTATTCAATATATATAATGATTTTGCTTGATATGCTTAGTTTAAGTCTTGATGACTTGGTACTGTTACAAGAATACGGGACTTCCTTGAACAACTGATGATCCTGTATAAAATTTCTCCATTCCAAGGCTCTTAAGTCCACTTATTATGATTTCCTATCGTAATGCTAAAACGAAGTTTTTACTTCCAAAAGACCAAAATACTTATGGCATTTTGATAATCCCTAGAAAAATTGGTCACTTGAACACTCTAAACCATTCAAGCCTTTATGTAAGTTGGAGAAAATCTTGAAAAGCCATTTTATGACAAAAAACGATGAAAGGGAAAGATCTTTGTTGGCTTTCCACTTTTTGGTCTGTTCTCTCACCCTGTGGGTAGGGCTTTAGGTGGTTGCAAAGGGAAAGATCAAATTTATTATCTTTTGTTTCACACGAGTTAAAATGGTAAATTGGTAGTGTAATTGAGTTGGCATGCAATGTCATGATTTCGTGTCTAAGAAAGTATAACTTTTAAAGATATTCTAAAGCACCAGTATTATGGGATTCCATCAAGGGAAATGAATGATCTAGGGGAGAGGTGAGAAGTATATGTAATCAGCCTTAAATAACTAAGCAATTTTTATTATTGATGCAAGAACCATTCATTTCAAAATTATGACAATTCTTATTTCTTTTTTATCATTGCTTTGTAGTCTAAGTAACAAGGGAGATTATTTCCTCTTCTCATCTTTTTTATATAAGAACTCTACTCAACACACTCCGCTAATAGTATTATTCTATATGTGCTTTTCCTTTTCTTCCCTCTACTTCATGTATTTCAAGTAAACCTGTTCTTGATAAAAGCAAATTTTCTCAGTTACTGTTGTGAATGAAGGAACTATTTTCAAAACTGTTTCATACTACCAAGAGAACTCGTTTTCAATCAATACAGTATTTGCTAAACCTGCATACCTTTGTGACAAATATCAAATTAATCTACATCTCTTACTCCATCAGGTGGACATTATAGGAGTTGGTTGCTATTCCTCCAAGGATTTGTGGACTTGGAAAAATGAGGGAATTGTCCTGGCGGCTCAGGAAACAAATGAAACCCATGATCTGCACAAGTCCAATGTACTTGAGAGGCCGAAAGTGATTTACAATGAGAAGACTGGAAAATATGTGATGTGGATGCATATTGATGATGCCAACTATACCAAGGCAGCTGTTGGAGTGGCAATCAGTGATACTCCTGATGGTCCTTTTGATTATCTTGGTAGTCAAAGACCACATGGACATGAAAGCAGGGATATGACGATTTTCAAGGATGATGATGGAGTGGCGTATCTAGTATATTCCTCTGAGGACAATAGTGAACTGCACATAGGACCTCTGACTGAAGATTATCTCAAAGTGACATCTGTCGTGAGAAGGATTCTTGTTGGGCAACGCCGGGAAGCACCAGCCCTGTTCAAGTACCGTGGCACATATTACATGATCACATCAGGCTGCACTGGATGGGCCCCAAATGAGGCACTCGCTCACGCAACTGAGTCAATCCTGGGGCCTTGGGAGACATTGGGAAATCCATGCATTGGAGGAAACAAAGTGTTTCAACAAACAACCTTCTTTGCTCAGAGCACTTTTGTTTTCCCTCTACCTGGGCTTCCAGGTTCATTCATTTTCATGGCTGATCGATGGAATTCAGCTGACTTAAGGGACTCGAGATATGTTTGGTTGCCTTTGATAGTGGCAGGACCTGCTGATCGGCCTCTGGAGTTCAATTTTGAATTCCCATTGTGGCCGAGAGTTTCTATCTATTGGCATAGAAAATGGAGACTGTCTCGGGTGGGTTAGGTTTAGAAAATGTATTTTTTCCTTTGTACGTTTTGTAATCGTATATGAAATCTCGTTGAATCTTTCAGCCGAGTTCCATTGCTATGGTATTCACTTGCTTTAAAACCTCATAGCAGAGGTTGGGAGACGGGAACTTCAGGGCGAAGAACCTGCAGTGGACTGACAGTTTCCTTTTGGGAAGTTGGCAGTATTAGTCTGAGATTTATTCATATCGAGTTGTCTGCTGGGGTAAGTTTTGCTAATAAGCCAGCATTGTTTATCGGTTGTATCAGGATGCCTTGTGTATACGTATAAATGATTCTTTCATGTGGTCATGGCGTTTTTTCCCTTTACATTTAGGAGGTCCACTATCTAGAAATTTTCCACATGCCCCTTTTGAAATGCTATGCTGGTCATTGAAACTTTCAATTTTTTTGTCGTATTGTGCTCTCGAGAAAGTAAATCTTCCCAGAATCTCAAAAAGTAGCTGACTTGGAATCCCACTTTAAGCCAATGATTCTATTTCTGGTGCTCTTCTGGTCGGTGAAGTGGGGAGGAAAACAGCTACCTATCGAGCTTTCTGCACAATTACAATGGAACCCCAGAACCAAAAGTGACCCGCACGGAGAAATTAAGCTGTTTTTGGTGAGAATTGAAATGAGAGCCTTATTGAAACCATATTCTTCTCTCACGATCATATACTATCCTGCAGTGTCGAACTACATACAATGATGAGAAGACTAAATTGACTTCGCTCTTTCATGGTTGTTAGTCCCTTCGATTTTGTGTTTCCTTTTCGTTGTTAACTGCAATGGAGTAAGTTGTAGCAGATCAGAGTGTTGTGTTACATCTGCCGGTGCCGATGGGCAGCTATGTAGTTTTGAACCATTGATAAAGGCAGCATGTGACCGAAATGAAGACCAACTACAAAGTCTTTATTTATTGACATGCTGATGCCCGAAACATTCAGAGGGAACAGGAGAACAGGGGGTCTAACATCAATTTCACATGTAAGTGCAAGAATTACTATGAATTCTCAATAAAAGGAAATAACTATAAAAAAAAATCTTAATAAGTCATTTCCTACCTTAAAATTGCTATTTTGTTACTATTGGGACTTGTTACTGATTATACCTTTTTTTAAAGACTTTATGGCGATTTGTCCTTATTTATTTGCCTTTTTCTGCCTCCTTTTTCGTCCCAGTAAATTTTTCTATGAACTAGAGTTTTCGGAACTTTATTTTTTTAAAAAAAAAAACAAGAGAGAGTGACCATAACCATGAGGTACTATGGCTGGAGTACACCAGAACTGGCGTTTTACTTGAACCTGGTCCCATTAAAACAAAGGGATCAGCGGGTCGCTGTCAGCGTAATAGAAAAGCATTCCAAAGCTTAAACTTGCAGAAGAAGGCATGGGCCACCATCAAAGCTCCTTAAAGAATACTAAACGAAAGCAACCAGAACCATTTTATAATCCTAATGGCAAAGGGAAAGAAATATATGCAAATGGATGAAGAGTGGGTATGTTATGTAAACGTGGAGCAGTTCAAGAAATGCAAACCTTAAAAGATGAACCGACTCTTTGCAATAGTTCCTTTTCAATTTTCATTGTTTATTTACTTAAAAAAACATTATCCAACCCCCCCCGGGGGGTGGGGGGGCTTCTTTATTTTAATAGCAAAAATATTGGTTTTTAAGGGCAAAAGTTACTCATGATGATGAACCCTCCATGAAAGAAAGAGTTCAGAGTCTGTGGGGCCGTAAAAGAGCGTAAAGCTGAAATCTTTGTCAAATATGAAGATGATAGACTTCGGAGGAGCGATAGAAAACAAGGAAAAAAAAACAACTGAGAAATAGAATTCCATTTCAAAACAGCGTGGAGGCCACTAAAGCCCTTGAGCCACTATGACTGTTACGCCTTTTCATGAGATTCCCTAAACATAACTCGTTCAGCACCGTGGCCGCCCAAAGATTCTATGGTCCAGAAACAAGATAATGACCTTTGTTTTATTTATTGGTATGTAATGACCAAGTTTCATACTGATAATTAAAATCCTAATTTGCTTTTAGCTGATATCATTCTTACACACCACATACCAAACCCAATTTCTTTTTGGATCCATTTGGCAACATAAACTAACAACAAATACGGTCGGCCAAGTCCAGCAACTAAACAACACCTTAAATATTGTGAAAAATACAAGGCTATCAGATTAATTATGATTATGATTTGTCTCAAAGACTAGTTATTAATTATGCAGCTCGTCTCGGGTCAAATTGGACCAGCACCAAAATATGATATATATCTTAACTACCATCAGTTAGCACAAAAGGAGAACTGCCTTCTTAAACCAGGCTATTCCACATTTTAAATAATTGAAGGTTATGCATAAATGTTTTAAAAAAATTAATATTAAATAGCATAAATGTTAATAAAATATATATATCAGTGTTTGATTAAAATAGAATAATATTTAAAAATAATGTACTCCTCCGGTCCTTATTATAAGACCCCATTTGACTTTTTATTTAGTCCTAATTATAAGACCCCAATCCATTTTGTCTCTTATATTTATGCATTTTTTTCCAAGATAATCCTTCTAATAATGATAATTTTAACCAATATACTTAATTAGCAAGGATATTTTAGGAATGACAACACTTATTTATTATAAATAACCAACTTAACTTACTTTATTAATCTCCTCAAATAAGTCAATTGGGTCTTATAATTAGAACCGGAGGAGTAGCAATTAAATTCCACCTACCGTTATTTTTATCAATGAAAAAGCAAAATGTTACGAAAAATAAATAGTACTTCATCGAAATTTTACAACCATAGTTATTTCGAAATAACAGAAATAAAACTCTAGAGCAGAAATTGTTTTGCCAAAAAAGAGGGTGTAGTTAGTCATGCTAATCAACATGAATAGAGCCATAAAACCGTAACTTCCGAGAGAAAAAAAAAGTGTCGCTACTCCCTCCATTTCTAATTATAAGAACATTTTAATTAACTATTTTGCATAGATTAGAAAAAATAGTTATTTAATTAAAAGCAAGATAGGGATGGAGGGATGGATCAATTAGTTTTTCACTCACATTTTCAAACCATAATAATCAAAGAATTAACAAGAATATCGAAAACCAATGTGCTTCATTCCTTTTCGAATTTTGACACAAGCCAGTTCATCTCCCAACCATCCTCAATCCCTATGTCTTCGTAACCTAATAAATTTAAATTAAGAAATGAGAAAGAAAATACACATCGCAGACAGACTCTTATTTAGCCCCACGCACGTGCGAAAAAAAACCGAGAGCACGTGCGAATACATCACGCTCATGGCATCATGTCGTCAAGGTTTCCATGCACTGGCCCACACCACCGGCTGATCCTTCCACGACAAGAATATTCCGGCGTGGGAGCACTGTGTCATTGACCACCCCTCCTGGTACCTTCTCAGAAGCGCCCTCACATCGTCGCACACCTCGTCGCTAAACGACGCCGTATTGAACCCAACCCCATGCATACGCTGCGACCATCTTCCCGCGCTTTCCCGTCGCTCAACTGACTCTGACGGATCACAGGCCACCAAGTCAACCATCGCCCGTCCTGCCCCCCTCTCAAGCATGAGCCTTTCGTTGCTCGTCTTCGGGAAGCTCTCCTCCAACGCCTCAAAATAAACCCTAAACCACCTCAAGCATTCTTCAAACCCGTTCACAAACTCAAAACCATCATACCCAACATCAAGATCGGCTTCTTCTTCCACTATTGTAACTATTCTAGGTTGTAATCTCCGAAACGAGGATATCAACGCGTCACGATGATTACCATTACCAACAATTGAGACAGAATGCAAAGCGTTCACACAGTTTATAGCTAAAGCCTCATCATCTTTAATATCTAATTCGGCAAAGTTCAACTCTGAAAGATCACCGGTATGGTGGATGACGTTGAATTTGAAGGGTACACCCATGAGACGCGCGAATTTCTCCATCCTAGCACCTATTTCCTTCATGACTTTCTGAACTGCCGCAGTGGAACCACCAGGTCGGCTGGTGACGACGGTGGTTAAACGGAGGTGCGGGGCATCGTCAGTGCGAGTAGCCAAGGACTCTAAAAGGGTAGGCCATTGGGTGCAATAAGTATTGCTGAAATCGAGTATATGTAATTTAGGCTCAGCTTCGAGGGCTTCCAAGATGGCGCCATTGGAAGCGACGTGACCGAAGGTAGTCCAAGGGCTGACCTCCTGGAACTTCAAGACGGTCTTCCTGGTCGATTCAAAAGAGCAGTTTTTGTCAGATGCGGAGGTTAGGGTACGGTAGGTACGGAGGCCAGAGTCGGTCATGCGGGCGAACAAGGCCTGGCAGAAGTAAGAGGCGAGTTTTTGATGAGTGTCGCCATAAGGGGAGGCGAGTTCGTTGAGCATCCACATGAGTTGCTGGATACGAGCACTGTTCTTGTCGGCAATGGCGCGAGCTGTTTCAAGGAGGATATCGGAAGCCCACTTGCCGTTGCCGGAGAATTCGAGGTTGAAGTCACCGGTGGGTGAGAAGGAAAAATCAGCGGTGGTACTGGGGGTGGTAGTGGAGGAAGGCTGGGGATGACAAGGATAGTAGTGCTTAGAAGAAGACGAGGACAAGTCTTCTTCATCCATGAAAAGGCTGAAGCATTCTTCGTCTGGTGGTGGGGGGTAGCAGAAGTTTTGTGCGGAAGATTTGGAGCTGCTAGAAGCGAGACTGGTGGAGGAGTTGAGGGATTGATCAGATTGAGGTTGATGTTTAAAATTGACTACCCTAAATAAGGTATCCATCATCTAATCCACAACAGACCCACATCAATAAACTAACGCGACTCTGCTAACAGCTTGCGTCTCCACAGAAGCAAACGGGCTTTAATGCTGTTTTAAACTGTGGGAATTGGGTGGAGAATGATTAGGGGGAACCAGGTCGATTTTGGAACGTAGTGAGAACAATAACGGGTTAATCTGTCAATAAATGCGCGGATGGTTCTAAGTCTAATTGGGTTAAATCTACATTCGTTTTTGTGGAATCGATGAGGAAGGGAAAAAGGTGGGCCCGAGTATGCTGCTTTTCTAGGATATTCTTTTGTGGAGAGAGATATTTATTGACTGAGAATGGGATGAGAGTTTAGGGGTCAAGGCCTGGCAGAATTGTGTTCGTGCCGAACCTGACAAAAGATGAAAAATATGAACGCAGGAGAAAAAGTAAGGAAGGGGAAGACAGAGAGAGAGAGAGAGCCAAATTTGTCAGTGGATGAGCTTTAGAAGGGAGGGGAGAGAGAGAGAGAGATAAAAATGAAGTAAAATGAATAAGTGGGAGCAGGCGTGCAAAACTCCCAATTGGGTCTCGAGAGAGTAAAGGCAGCGGCGTGGCATAATAATGATGTGATACAAACCCCCTTCCCATCCTTTCCATCCACCTACGATCCGCCCTCAAACGCTCTCGTCCCCCCCCCCCCCCCCCAAAAAAAAAAAAGAGGTTACTTTTGGCCTTTTCTATACTGGTAGTCTGGTACTATACTCTGTGTGCGCGTGTGTGTGGGGGTATAAAATAATGTTCACTTGTATTACCAATGTGTACTCTTCACCAACTTCTAGGGCATGCCTTCTCTCTTTATTCCCATTCTCTCGTTTCATGATTTATATATGCAGTCGCCATCTATGATCTATATGCACTCGTTCGCCTAATTCCGTTTTGGGTCGTTTTTACTGCGCCCCACGACACTGCTTCATTTTTCATTCCTGTACCTTAGTCTCCGTGCTCTTGGTCTTGGAATATTAGTGCCTTGCCTTGTCGCCAATTGCAATTTGTTAAACACATACCCTGTTCACGCTCGCTTATTATTGTTTGGTCGGAGGGGCTTTTCTGGTATGTCCCCATCAGCTACCTCTTCTTCTTCTTCTTCTTTTTTTAATTGCCAATTTATATTATAAGAGATCTCTTGCTTGGAAACCTTCAAGATTTTTATTTTTGTTCGTACGGTATCAGCTATGGGAACAATTCAGATATTTGACCTTCTTGTCCTCTGTCCTGAGGTATGCCTTCAGGGTCTCTCGTTCTCCTCGATTAGTCATCCATCTGAGACAAGTATTATAAATATATATATATATATTTTTTTCCGGAAAGGCTCAGCGGCCAGCGCCTTTTCCTTTCGATCCTTTTTTTCTGTCCAGTTATATTGGCTTGTGGGTGCCGGTTTGAATGAAGCCTGACAGGGTATATACATTCTCATACAGTCGATGATTTTAATTGTTAACTAGAAATATGAAATTTGTAATACCCTTTTATCTAATGCCAATTAAATAAAGAAGGCAAATAAGACATGGACGTTTTCAGGGCTTGATTTCTATGATATTTATATTCCTTCCTGCTTCAATCAGGCGAGCCCCGTGCTTTTATTTTATATGGAAGCCATCAGAAGAAGGGATATAGCTAGTTGAAATGTCACCGCCCTCAATTTTCTAAATTGTGTTTCCTATCGGAGTATGGAGCATGGCAAAGATAGACCACATCCTGAGAGTTTAGTTTCAGCAACCACCATTATTATTAATTCCCGAAACTTTTACAAAATTGATTTTTAATTCTGGAGGACAGATGCACGGATCATTCGTATATCATCGATCAATGCTGCCCTTTAAGCGGCTAAGGAAACGACTGTGTTTTTTTTTATCATCATCATTATCATCATGTGAAAAAACATCAAATAGGGTACATCATGCGTATGCTTGATTTGTTCTGAATAAAACACGTCCAATCTGATATTCCATCCTTTGGAAAGGGAAAAAAAATCCATCATATGACTGGACAAGGAATCTAATTCCCTGAACTGACTCGTTTGATCCGAAGCTGAGTGTTACAGAAAAGGGGCAAGAGTTAGGAAGCTGCCCCGACCAGCAGGATTCCTCTTATTACCATCCCTTGCCGTCTTTCTCGGGACATCCATAAAATCATCATTGCAAAAGCTATCATATAAGTACTACCGAACGTTTAGATCGATTGGCTGTGAGGTCGTTTTAGCTTAACTAAGGTTAAGGGTTCGATTCTGTTTGGGAATGCTCCAACATGGAGTGGTAGACAAATCATCCGTTAGGGGATTCTTCACAAGTGCCACTTCAGATTAGTCTTGGCCCGTTAAAAAGCCTAAAAAATAGCATTGGCCTAGGATACCGGGAGAGCTCAACTCAAAAAAAAAAAAAAAGAAGCTACCATATAAGCTCATACTCCTAGCTCCTCAACTCCCTATCCCTCACTCCCATGACGAATTCCACTATTGCCAGTTCAATATTCATATTTAAATGATCTATATCCATATTTTTTCTCCCCAATTTTACCTGACGGATTCCTGAATTGATCGTCCAGATTTCATTAACCCCACCAGTCAAACTTGCTCCCAAATTTTAAGCCAAGTTTTGATCTGCATGGAATTCTTATTTTGTTCAATCAGGTCATAAAGGAAATTCACGACTGGTTCAATCAGGCTATACCATCACTCTAGATCCTAGATGTCAAAAAACTCTTGCATGAGTTTTCCAATGGGTTCTCTCTTTGGCCTCAGATTTTCTTTTTCAATTGCCGCAAACAAAAAACAAAGTCGGATAGAAAAGGAGAGAAGCATTCAACCAAACGCAAATAAATTAAATCCGTTTAGGAAGCTCGTAACCAGAGACAACTTTTGCTGAATCCAGCATTCGCGTCAGACAATTCAGCAAACATAGATGAGGGAACTTCTCCTCTGGCATAGCCAAATGGGAACGCCTCAGAAAGTGAAGATCAGGCGGCTGTTGAAGAAGCTCTCGATGCGCCATTAAAATTATATTACTGTCTGTCAGGACAAACAAATTATTCCCAGAAGCACGTTATATAATTCTGACATGGCAGCCGGAACATGATTGAAACGTAGTCATTTCTAGTTGAGAGGAAAGAAGATACTCGGCACTGTTTTTGCAAGTTGCAACCAATATACTCTCACTAAATAAACTTGTTGTACACATCCTATCAGAACACGCGGAGTGCAAAAATGCTCCCACTGTTCTGTGAATTTTCCCCCTCAAGTAAATGCCACAAGAAACCTACAATAATTTTTAACATCTCGTAGTGGTACAAGATTGGGAATTTCACCATGCTGAGAAGTCTTTAAATTCACTACTGGAAACTCCCACTTTTCTTTTCTTTCCTACAACTGATGTGTTATTGTCAACAGTAGCAGAATTTTGAGCATTCCTAGCTTTCAAGTACTTGCCAACACCACCACCCACGCCTCCAGATTCAGATGTTCCGGCACCAGGATTACTATACCACGACCCAACCTTATCCTGAAATGTAAACCAAAGGAGTGGAGCAAAATAATCAATAAAAATTTGCAGGAGTAAGATAACCAGTAAGAAATGCAATAGAGAGTATGAAACAAACATTATCTTCATCCTGCACATTCTTCTCATCAGCCTTCTCCTGGTCTTCCTCATCTGGTTCTGTGTAGGGATTAACAAAAACTGTGACACTTGTTATCTTGATTTCCTCCTGCAAGGCAAAAGATAAATAGAACATAACAAATTGTAAGACGTGGTATAGTAAAATAACAGAATTTTTTTCTAAGCTACCAATAGTCTCAGCATGAATAAATATATGAACTCTTCAAATCAGCAACAAGGAGACATTAAAAAAGTGCACAATATCCTAAATCCCAACCTTGCAAATGGTAGCATAAACTTCTGCAATCACTCAAGTTACACATGACATGCAATACGCAAAACAAAATTTTTATGAATACGACCAAAAGAAGAAAATTTGTATAGCAGCAGAAGAATCTTCTTCTCATAAAGCAGAACCACATTGTGTTTGAGTGATGGTATATTTTTCATTGCTCAATTTGAAACTTGACGCGGTTGAGAGAAATCAAACAAGAAGAAGAAGAAGGATAAGTCTAATGACACCAAAACAACAGTGAAAATGCATATAAAACTTGACTTACCAGAGGTCGGTCATTGTCATCAACAGGAACCTTCTCCATTACTGCCAATGTTGTCAAGCCACCAACCACTCCACCAAAAACGGTGTGTTTATAGTTTAAGTGATTTGCAGATTTGTACAGGATGAAAAACTGGGAGCCATTGGTGTGCGGACCACTATTTGCCATGCTAACAACGCCCCTCCCAGAATGAAGTAATTTGGAGTTAACTTCATCTTTAAATGGTTTCCCCCATATTGATTCACCTCCTCTTCCAGTCCCAGTAGGATCACCGCCTTGTATCATAAAATTCCTGCATTAGATATGCATTAGGATCTACAAATGAGAATCATGATTAGCTAGAAAGAGAGAACAAGGATTAAGTTCATAAAGAAATAGGTCACTATACCGTATATTCCTATGAAACGCAACCCCATTATAATATCCACGCTCACAAAGTGTGATAAAGTTCTCACATGTCCTGGGTGCTATATCACAATGCAGCTCAATGTTCAAATCACCATGAGTTGTATGCAATTGTACATATCCTTTCTTCTTTGGATTTTTCTCCACTTTTACATATTCATATTCATTTTTCGTAACTGGATCAAAAGATGTCGAAGTAAAGGATCGTGAAGCAGCACCAGTGGTGAATTGGCTTTTTACCTGAAATGGAGAACTTTCATCAAAATTTTGAAGTTATTGAATGCATCCATGTGAACAACCCAGGTATAGCGTACCCGAAAACACTGATATGGAATTTAATTGACATGGATGAAGAAAGCATTAAAATAAAAGGAAAGAAAGAAAAGTGGTCATTGGAACTCTTCATATTTCATGAAAAAAAATTCAAATCAATCACTTAATGCACAAAGGCTCCAATTACATATTATACTAATCCAAGAAGTTCAAATCTGTGAAACTCACCAGCTTCCCATTTATTGGAGCCCTCTCACCAGCCAAGTGCGCAGCTATTCTAGCAGCAGTTTTATCACTTGATGAGGCTTTAGCAGCAGCTGCGCTTCTTCCATGCACTGAAGCAGAAGCAGCATCTACTATACTAAATCCCTGAGCAGCCTTAGCATCACCATTTGACTTGGAATCCTCCTTCAAACGTGATCTTGCGGCTAATATGGCAGTAAGAGCAGCAGCCCTTTCATTTCGTGCCTTGCTCCCACCTCCCCCATGCATCGCAGTTTCCTTTGCCCTCTCAGTTCCAAGCTCCTGCAGCATTTGTTTAATATCTCCAGACACATTTATATTATAGGTTGGATCTGAACCCATTCTGTTAAGTTCTGAGAAAAAAAAGACCAAAGATATCATAGCTGATACAAGCAAGAATAGAATCAACAAGATCATCAACATAAAAAGTAAATAAATAAATAGAAGGACAGTTGACAAAAGATGGAGCTGCAAGACATTGCCTACCTTCATCATCAACTTTCAAACTATTTTTAACGTGATCAAAATCCAGAAGAACCTTGCTGTCAAGTGCGTTGGGATTCTGCACAGAGTATACATATAAATATCAGCATGATATCAATGCCAACCCAACGAAAATAGAGAAACCATTTTCGCTCAAAGGTGACACTTGCCTGAATAGTTATGAGGTCATCCTTAGTGAATGGCTCATCAGTCAGGAGCTCCTTCCAGTTTTTTGTCTTGATGTTTAATTCTTTGATGGCCTGTTTTCAAGAATTGACATTTTATTTTTACACACCATAGAGACAAATGAAAGACTGGTATAGTTAACACTACTAATCCTGAATAATACAAACCTCATAGCAGAAAACGTTTCCTGTGGTCTTTACAGCTACGATATGCGTGAATTCAGTGAAAACTTTGTTTAGCACAGGGCACTGATATTCCCCTGCAACATGAAGGAGAAAGGTTAGAGGAAGCAATTTCAGGAAAGCCACACCAACCCACCCCACCCCAACCCCCCCCCCCCCAAAAAAAGAACCCAGGGCCAGGGTGGAGATAAAAATCTCATAACATATACAAATAACAATGGCACAGTTCTTCAGAGTGGGAAACTCTTAACACAATTCAAAACTACATGCGAATATTTTGTTCTTTCAGTCTCATTATAGGTTTCAACAGTTTAAAGCTTTCAATACGCTCTATTTACTAGACCAATATCCCGTAGATGTTATTAACTTATAAAAAAACAACATATGAACTCAAAATCTAAGCTATCCAACCATGCAAATAATCACCAAGATTTCTGATATAGTCACCAACAACATATCTCAGATGTTCCAGATAAACCACTCAAAAACATGCCATGGGATGAATGCTTGTTAGAGGAGAAGCAAAGCGGATTGAAGTTTAAATTAGTGTAATGCTAATCAGTAATTACCATCAGAATTCTTGTGGAAAGTTAATGGAATGAGGTCGTCCTGCTTAAGCGGAGCTCCCGTGACGGGATGCTTTCCATACTTGATAACATACGGGGTTATATTCCTGCAGCAAAATTGCAAAACCACAGCTAATTGGATAAAAAAAATCAAATAGTACTTCAACATAAATCGAGTGGGAAAACTCAAAATTGTGACGCGACGGAAAGCACAGATACCCACATAACATCAAAAACGCTCCCGTCAGCTGTGCACACCGGATACTCGAACGGCGTAAATGTAAGCCTAAACCCACACAAAAAAGGCACATATTATAAATCTCAAATTCAATGATAACATCAGTGAGAGACAGCCAATTTTAAAAATCGGAATGCAAATAGAGATAGCACGTACGCGCAGCAATAGAAAGGAAGTCGTTTGAACGGGGTACGATTTTCTTTGGATTTGGCTCCTCCCCATTCCGTTGCCCACTCTGTTTTAGTGATAAACATCCGGTCCTTGCTGTGCTGCTTCTTCCCCATCGTGCCGCTTGCAGGATGGCTTTAGAAGGATAGGGTTTATTTCACAGCTCTGGTGGAGTTGCTTCGCTGTTTGCGGAAAAATGAGCAAATATAAATCTAGCGAATCCGGTTTCTATTGTGTATGTGACCTTCAGAGAGAGGCAGTTCGATATTTCTTCAGGGCTGGGCTCTAACAACCGCCTCAGAAATGACCCCGGATTCGTCTGTCACCGCCGTGCTTGTTCGGCGGCTGAGATTGCAATTTCGTTTTCATTCCGATCTCCATTTTTCTTTTTTCTTAACACAATTATTGGTTTATTTTAATAAAATCATCAATATAAAATTTAAAATATACAAAAAGAACCTTTGTCCTCCCAAAAAAAAAAACAAAAATTTAAAGCCTGTTTGTTTTTTTATTCTCAAAACAGTTTCATAAAATTGTTTATTAGATAAGTTTTGAAAACAAAAAATAAAAAATTTGTTTGGATAATAACTTTAAAAAATCATTTAAAAGAAAAATTCATAAAAAAACTCACACTTAACAAATGTCGCTGATGATAATAGATGATGAATAATAAATAAAAAAAAAAGAAGATTTTTTGAAGTAAAAAAATAAAAAGCACAAAAACTAAAAAAAACAGTCGAAATAAAAAAATTACAAATTAAAATCCATGACAATAATAATATGAGTTTTAACAATAATTTTTATGAACGAGTCTTTATGTGTAATTTTTATATTTCAGTGATTTTTTACGATTTTTTCAAGAAAAATATGTAAAAATTGTTTACATTTTTTAATTTTTAAAATATGTTTTTTTATGTTTTTTAAAATAATCAACTAAAAACAAATTATCAAACAAGTTTTTTATTTTAAAAAATAAAAAATTGTTTTGAAAACAAAAATCAAACAACCCATTAAATCTCATAAGAAATGAAATAGTAGTATCATCTATTTTTACTCTCTTTTGCGGACTCAAGGCCCCCTGTGAGGGAGGAGGTGGGATACAAGAACCTCCTGCAAATTAATAAACTAATAGTTATAGTTGAAAAAATTGTGATGACCAATAAAAAAACCTAATAAAAAATAAATAAAATTATAAGAATTTATGAATTAATTTTTTTATTGAACTCGAGCCTCACGTAAAAAATTGGAGGACTTGATTAAAATCCAAATTCATCTATCATCAGATACAGGATAAATTATAAAAACAAAAATCGTGAAAAGAATTATATTTATTTCTGGACTAAAGGACTGTGTGTAAACTTGTGGCCCAGTTTTGATCAAAAAGCCTAGTGGCCCAAGATGGGTTTCCAATAATTGGGCTTTGCTTGGTTATAACAAAACCCGATCTAAACCCAGAAAGCAAATACACGAAGTTAGCCCTAACCTCACTTGCGCCACCAACATATAAATCCACAAACCCTAAAAAGATTGTCCTGGGGAGCCTAGCAGGAGCCAGAAGGAAGCCGCAGGTAGAGACCTTCACCAAGAGCGAAAATGAAGTACAATCCTCGGGTCTCCAGCTCTCGTCGCAAGAACCGCAAGGCGCACTTCACGGCGCCGTCCAGCGTGCGCCGTATTCTGATGAGTGCGCCTCTCTCGAATGACCTCCGCTCCAAATACAACGTGCGGTCCATGCCTGTTCGCAAGGACGATGAGGTTCAAGTTGTTCGCGGCACCTACAAAGGTCGTGAGGGAAAGGTGGTTCAGGTCTACCGTCGCAAATGGGTTATTCACATCGAGCGGATTACTCGTGAGAAGGTAAATGGTTCGACTGTGAATGTTGGTATTTCCCCTTCGAAAGTTGTCATCACGAAGCTGAGGTTGGATAAGGACCGCAAGTCCTTGCTTGATCGCAAGGCCAAGGGACGTGCAGCCGCCGACAAGGTCAAGGGCACCAAGTTTACTGCGGAGGACATTATGCAAAATGTTGACTAGTCGGTGAAAACTTATTTTTAGATCTGTTTTTCTATTTTATGTATTAGGTTCTTTTGCGCTTCTTACTAAGTGAAAACTGGATAATATGTCATGCGGGCCTTGTGATTTTCATCATGAACAATTTGAGTATTTGGAGCACTTGAGTTTTTTCTTGCTTAAAGAAATGTTTTGATGTTATTCCAAAAAATGTTGTGTACCTGATTATCCATTTGACTCATTGTCACTGCATTTGAGTTCGCATGTGATTGTGTTGAGGCATAATAATTGGTCTTATTCAATTCGAGCCATAGGATGTTACGTTCTAGTGTGCGAAGAGTCTTCGTTGATTCAATAGTCCAATGCTATATTGAGTAATTAATTTCCTTCCTTGACCTGTTGCTCCATTTAATGTATCTTAAACCTATCTGGTATCTGTTTGTATAATCTAGCGCAATGCCAGTGATATTCGAGTTGGTCAACTGTGATCTATACTGGGTTGTTTTGCATGTTGAACAAGGTTTTCCTCTAGTTTGGTGTCTGAGTGTTACTAGCTTGCGATTCACTTAGTAGGTGTCAATTTCATGATCATTTTGTCATTGTTGGGATGCGTTTCATAGGTAGACTGAACCGTTGTGATTGAATCCATCGTGTAACGTTGTTGTCTTCCCGTACTTGATTCATTAAAGAATATAATGCCGTAATCGTAGCTGGAGTGTTGAAAGAGTCGTCGTAGTTGAGTAATTGCATCACTTATACTGTAGTAGCATATTACTAGGACTGATTACAAGCCAACTTCGATCTTGTGAAATCATGGTTCTTGCCGTTGTCATGTGGTGGTGTGGATTTTCATTATTCAAACCTTTTGATTAAACCTTATTTGGGGACTTGGAAGGAAGGGATGTAGAAGAGGATCTGCTTCTTTTGTGTAGCAGTTGTTTTAGTTGTTGGTAGGATTGAGTAGAGAATTAATCAGGTACGGCTGCTCAACAAAGGCTAAAACGTAATGTTCCTACGGAAAGGAATTAAAAAGCATTGGATACTTCCAGCATTTGGGAAACAAATTTCTGGTGCTTGAGGCTTAGAAAATTCTGCGGCACGTGTGTGTGTGTGTGTGTGTATGCATGTTTGTGTGTGTCTTTGAAAGGAAATATTGCAAGGAGGGGGTGTAGTAAAGGGGGAGTGAGTTGTTGTGTGTATGCGAGTCATCGCCCGTCATTGCCATTTGCGAGGGTAAATCGCCAAATGGGAAGAGAAACGGACAAATTATTTTTCTTCCGTACAATTATCACCTTACGGTGCCGTAATAACTGGCGGATATAAGAAAGCACATGGCTAATAGGGCAGAGCAAGTTATGGATTTGTTAAAAACCAACCTCACTGGTTAAAAAAAAAAAAACCAACTTGTTCAGCTGAGCTCTTCTGGCTCGCTACCCAAAACGGGTTAGCCCGAGGACCTGTCTGAAAATGAGCCCTTGTGGCCCATTTGCTATTCTGCATTTATTATTTTTGATTTGTTAAATTTAATTAAATATTATAATCATATTATTATGCGTAATATCTCATTTAAAAATTAAAAAATGTTCATGTTATTTATTTGGTGTTTTTATTAAAGTATTTTAAGGAAAAATAAGAATTTTGCGATATTTATTTTTTGTGGGCCACCATCAAGATGGATTACAATTAGCTGAAAATTAACACATCTGGAAATGGTTTTTTTTTTTTTTTTTCCCAGTCAGCATTGTATGAGTTGAACCCGTTATAACCTAACCGGTAAATTGCGTGCTGGCCTGCATTGCCAATCCACCTAAAGATGGGTCCCGCGCATCATGCTCATTCGACTGTCATTTAACTGGAACCCTTACGTTGAAATGAACCAATTTATTTTTCAAACATGGTATAATTTTTTCCCCAATAAGGTTCAGTATTCCTTATGCGACTTTAATGGCTTATACCTACCAAAAATGTTCAGGGTATAGTAACACTATAAGATTATTGTCTAATTATCTACGGTTACATCTATGTCGCTATTCGCTAATGTTAATGATGATGTCACTTGACAAGAACAGTAAGATTTCTCCAACTCTAAATACGAGTACTATTCTTATGTCCATCGAATTATCTCCATTTCTCTCTGGATGAACGAGGACGGAAGAAGGAAAAACATTAAGAAGAGGGAGGAAACAATATACGAACGTCCGCTTAACAAAGACAAAACCCCACACGTAATTGAACTACGAATCCTCACCCCCCCCCCCCGGGGTTTGAATGACAAGGATTTGTATAACCCGAGGGTTGATTGTCAAAACTGGATTAAAATTCATTATAGATTCACCAATGAATTTGCCTTGTTGACATTAAAACCGCATGTTTCAACTTTCACTAATTATTTGTATTTGCAGCCTATTCCCATCTGGCAACAATCCTCTTTTTGCTTGGTATAACATCCAGTCCATTCTTGTTTCCATCCCTTCTGCGACACGCGACAGAATAACAAGACCTTGATTTTGCTATTTGTTAAGATCCCAACAAGACCAAAGGAAAGGGAAAAAAAACCATCATATTAGAATTCAATAAATGCACATGATGCTTGAAACTCCGTGCTGGTGGACTACCACATCTCACAAAAGACTACAAAAATGCAAGGAAGGAGTAATGCTGAAAATTAAGAATGAGGGGAAAGAGAAGAGGCTGTAGCTGATTCCAGGATACCTGAATATTTAATTCAGTCACGAACCAAGAAGTCTTTGAAACCACTTATTTTGCCCTACCATTTCGGGCCACCCAAAAAAAATTGAATTAAGTTCTAAATTCCAATATTTCAGAAGTAGAAACCCTTCAAGGTTTTAAAGAAATTGCCAACCCAAGCTTGGGATTTCTATCTAAGGCCTTTGTGTCAACCTCTCCAGAAATGGTTAACACTGACTTTGGTATGACCTCATGCTGGAGGAGAGCCCCAAGCGTCCCATGATTGTTGAGCCTTGCTTTGATCTGTGTCAGATGATCGACAGCAAATGACCCTCCAACCGTAAAAGTGTTCTCATTTGTGGAAAACTTTCTAATGATTTCTCCTACAGCGGCACTTTTCTTAGATTGGTCTAGATAATGTACATAAGATGCTTTGATACTGTCTCCCTTGTCGCCACTGCAACAATTTAGACGTCTCTCAATATGATTGCAAATTACTAAAGATATGGAACAATTGTCATGGTGCCAAATGCCAAAAACTTACAGAATTATTGAAGCATATGAATCGGCTCTGGTCACACCAATACCAGCTGTGTATTTGTTAAAACCACCAGATGCGGCATCAT